TTGCTTCGCACCATTCGCTTCGTTTTGGCCGAGGGAATGGTCGCGCGAAGCGATACCACTGTCGATATTTGCCGTGAACGCTCCCTCATTTTAAAAAGTTTTCCCGTGCTGTTGTTGCCCTTGCAGATTACGCAATACAACGTAATCTAGATAAAATTCTACTGATCAATTTTTCTGAAAGGTTGAACGAATCGAAAATAATGATCAGAATATATCGAAAAGAATAATGTCGGTTTGCTTCTTAGCTTTTAAATATCATTCTTCACATTCTTCTACGATTTATTGATCATTCGGTCTCTATAATTTTCGAATTATTTGACAAGTTGTCGTATCCCGTGAACGAGTCTGTAGGTTGGTATTGGCGAAAATACGGTTGCGTTCGATGGGCGAACTGTTTTGTATTCAGTCCGCCTGATCAACCAGCCTCTTGCTCGGTGAATTTTGTAACGAAAAGCAGCCGCTATTTACTCGACGCTTCGTTTCCTCGTTTTTCCGCTTTCTCCGAGGTGTGTCCACGCCAGCCGGCGTAAAAATAAGATAAAATAAAAAGGCTGACGGCCGACGAGCGCTATTGGCCAAGAAAGGAGTCCGCTACAACGAAATTGCCCTTTTTCCAGCGCTCCTGCCAAGGGGAAACCAACAGAGAGAACGAGAAGATAAAAAGTGAAATGGCACAAAACAAGAGAACGGAGGAACGAATAGAGAAAGAAAAGGGTGAAAAAAAGGTGAGAGAGTACGGCAGAGAGACGGTGGGAATCAACGATTATAGGACAGTCGGTGCGGATGCGGTAAGATTGGTTCAGCCGCGGCAACACCGATCGACCAGCTTTTTCCGGTTGATAAACTTTAACCAATTAACGCCCATGGATAACTTAGTTGGACGCTATAAACCGATAGACATCGAGAAACTTGGGCTGTTGGCGCGCTCGGTCAGACCAACTCCAATATCGCAAATTGTTTCGAATTTATCTCGGATTCTGCGACAAGTTCTATGAAGAGAAAGATAAGGTCGCCGAAAATAGCGATCGTTTATGCTCTATTAACGATACATATTCAATTCGGTTTCTTCTTCGGCGATGAATAGCCACGAGTCCTCGAGATCTTTTATCGATAGAAAGTTGAAGAAGGAAGCCTTTGTAAGAAACTGGCGCAGAGGCCAGTCAGGATTCCGTGGCAGGCAACGATTCGACGAATGTTTAAAAGCTGCATCGGCCAACGACCCGGTGTGTACATAGCCACCTATCTCCGTATCCATTATGAGCGAACGAGCAAAGCAGGAGGGAAAAAAGAGAGTTAAGAAGTGGAACGGTCTCTCCGCTTGTCCCCGAATTCCCTTGGCGAGATTCGGTCCCGTCACATTTCCAGTCGGTCGACCACACTCGCTCGACTCGCCGTTCGATTTGCAGAATTCTCCGAGAAAAGTTGGTTATTGTCGGCCCGGTGGCCAATACAATGTGGCCCAGCCGACCTAGATTCCACCAAATTCTTACGGTCACTTCCCGCCTCGGCCGTGGTTCACGCTTCGGCCTGGACACCGGAAACGGGACGCTGTCGAACGACGATGCGCCGAGGAAATTGCTTGCCGCGGCACGAAAATATTTATTCGCGGAATTTCCCCTGAAATAACACCGTCTTTCATCCTGTCAGTTCGTTTCCCCTTCTGAATACTTCGACAATAAACTCGACGACAATAAACCGCCACCTACTCGCTTTGCAACGTTAATCGCCTAATTTGGAAACTGGCGTTTTATTTCGTTCTCCTAAAGTTCCCGAACGTTTCCGAGAACGAGTCTTGGATACTCGCGAACATCTGCCAAGGAAAGACTCGTGCAAGATCGCGGCTAACTGAATCTCCTTGGTCGGCCAATTTGCTTGGAGGTGGGTCCCCTCTAAGTCTCGTCTCCAAGATCCACAGGTCTCAACGACTTTCCAACGAGGCTGGTTCGCGATCCACGAGGTTAATCTGGCACGAATGAAAACAGCGAGGGAGAACGGCGCGGTGTGTGTTCCATTCACGAGGATGGAAGAAACGTCCCATCGGAACAAGATACGACGCGACTAGGAACGAAGCTGCGGATACACAAACCCGTCCGGCTCAATCTTACGTTGCGAGGGACTGGCGTCTCTCCTTCCTCCTCTCTTTCTGCTCGTGATAGTTTCAGCGCGACGTTGCCGTTAAGCCTTGCAGCAATTTCGTTGAGCGCATCCTGGATTGGAGCTGGTATTAAGGTAATGAGAGTTCTCTCGTAGCTACTCGCGCTTTCGATAGCGGTGCTCGCGAATTAAAATGTAATTTTCCATCGCGGGCCAATGATTCGAGCCGCGAAATTGCCCGATGGAGAATCTTCAACCCCTGCGTTATCTCCTCTGCGTTCCTTCCTCCTTCTATCTCCTTCTCGCTCCATTTTCGTTTTTGCCTTTTCTCTTTTCTTGCTCTTTCTCTCCTTCGTTTTTCCCTGCTTTTTTTTTTACGAGGGACCAGGTGAATATCAATTAGAAAGTTTCCGCGCCACGGAACGGTTCCGCTGTTTCAATTCCTCGGGACCTGGAGTTTAATCTCCGTGCGATGCAACGCCGGAACTTGCCATGGAACGATAAAAAGTCAAACTTTCGACGACTTCTTGGTAACGCGGATTGTGTTTCGCTCTTAACGGAAGCCGCCGCTGCCAGTCTCGAGTGCACTCCTGATTGAAAGTTGCCCCTATTTGATCAAGGGGTTTATGAGCCTCTTCGTTCTGCCGGAACTTGTTCCCTACTTCGGTGTGCTGGCCACGCGAGGGTTACCGTCTGATTTCTCTACCTTTTTCTGTAATAATATTCGAAAACACTCTCTCACAGTGACACGATAATAATTTTTATATTTAATACTATTAGAAATCTATTCATCAGTTTTTTTTTTTTACAATCGACGCTGCAATAAATGAATTATCAGATCAAATTTAATTAAACTATATTATATAATAAAGAGAAATCAAAACAGCGTTCTTTCGAATTCTGATTTAAAAATTGTGGAACTTTAGAAATAAACCAAAATGGTCGGTACCAATCAGTCGAAAGTTGAAAGTGCGTACAAATTCAGCCGCCAACGGCAAATAAAGTATTAAAATGAAGTATTAAAAACGATAAAATAATACCAGAATCTGTTATGCAAACGTTTTACGTGTCTCTTTTGAAGATCACTCGCAGTTTTTAAATTTTAAGCCACGGTCACCTATGGAATAAGCAAAAATGATCCAGGATTAGAGGACAATAATGTATCATTAATTATCGAGCAAGGACTCTTTTGAGATTTAACGCGATTCATAAATAACGAGTATCATAAGCGTCATAAGCGTCATAAGCGTCACTCGAAAGAGGTAAGAATCGAGGAAGGGAGGAATTAACGCGATCAATTCTTGCGCGTCGTGACAAAATAAGGGTAAACGAAGCGAATTACACGGAGGCGTGGCTCATTTGATCGCGCGGATGAACGCGACGCGCATAAATTCACGGTGCTCAATCTTCGCAAACCGGTTGCAAGTGTGTTGCCGCCGCGTAATTTTGATGAACGCGTATGTAAATTACAACAAGCGACTGTGTTGGCGCGAACGTTTCCCGCTACGTTATTTTCCTTCGTGCGATTTATGGAATTGAAATTTTCGGCTCGCTCCATGGGAAATCATTCGACGGTCGTCAGTCAGCGGTGTTCGTCCCTCGTAAAAATCCGATCATTATCAGCGAAATGTCGTGTTAAATCGCATTAGCGGGGACCACGAGATTGTCGTTATTAGATTTCTCAATTTGAACTTCTGCAAATGAGCACAGCCTTTGCCTTGCTCGTTTTCGAATGCTTTGGCAATAAAATTTCACTGATTTGCAAGCTTCGAAACCTGTGATTGCTGGTGCTTTCTTTCGCTCGAAGAGTCAGCAAGTTTCACAGGAATAGATTTGTCCGTTTTGAAATTTGTGATTCGCACTGAATCGCGTTCTAACAACTCGAGGAATTCACGTGGTCGTTTCAAAAAGAAAACAATATTCGCGCGTTTTCGTTCGGTTGCGACGAAACGGGTCCTGCTGAATGGACAGACCGAACATCGAAAGAGGTGGGAATCGTGGACGTGATGAAAAAATACTCGACGTGTTTCTCTCTGTTCGTTGACGTCGTGAGAATAGTAAATCAAAGAGCGGGTGAAATATTTGGCGAGAAAGAGTTGAACGGCAGGCAGTTACGATTGAGGAACGAGACAGACACGTGTCGTTTTACGTAATCTCACAGTTGCCGGGACTCTCTTTGTATCCGTGCACAAAGCCGCCACCTCCATTTCATGGAATGCTCGACTTTGCATGCGCCGTCTGCTTTCTCGAATGCGTCGTTACAGAACCGGAAATGTTTGTTCGAGGCTCATTGAATTTCCTGCGCCGGCAAAGGTTTGCCATTCCGTACGACAGGACACGGGTATTCCCGTTTGTATCGTTCGATCCCGAGTAAATATTTCTTCGATTTCGGTTTTACTTGCATCTGTCGCTTTTTCCCTCATGAAATTAATTTTAGCGCCAAGTTTCGACAAGTGTCGTGAATATAAACGTGCTTGCCAGCACCGAATTATAGAACACTAAATTTTCTTCATACGCCGATTCGAAATGATGTTTGATAATAATACGAATCAATTATTTAAATTTATGCGTGAAAATTAAAATTGAATTCAACTTAATTTATATTAAAATTCAAATTCAAATATTTAATATATTTGAAAGTAAAACATAAATTAATTATTAAAGATTTGTAAATATTCAATATGTATTGTACTGAATTATGTAATTAGTATTCAATAAGTATTTGTAGCATTAAATACATTCTTTTTTTTTTTGTAATTCGTAATCTGAGAGAAATATGATAAAAAAACGCGTCGCATATGAAATTAAAATTTGCCGCGCAGGGGTTGCGCGCGAAAAGGGAATCAGGCCCACCGCCATATTGGAAATGTGCGCAGAAATTTTCGCGCATAGCGTCACTTGGAGGATGACCATCATGGCGACCTGTCATGCTACTCGCTCGAGGTACGTAACATAATAACTGCGTAGTACTTTCATTATTATTCCGTGCTCGTTCATACACAGCTATTAAGCTCATTTAATTAATACACGTTTCTCTAATAATTTGTTGAATATTGTTCTGCAAATGCACGTATATTAATTGATCATGTATTTAAAGGTTAGTGTCACCAGTAGCGTGCATTATTAGCTTTCAAAATGGCATTTAATTTTAATTATTGTTTCATTTCGATATAATTGGCTTTGCTTGTGCATATTTATTTTAGATTTTTGTTCTGTACAGATTAATGGTTGATTATCGAATAATAGTGGCAGGAGTTAGGGGTGTGCACGCCATTTTGGTTAACGATCCACTCGATGATTTTATGACATGGTAACGTATAATTTATTGTAACAAAGACAGACATATATCTATAATTTTATCGTAATTTAACATATAGTTGATATATAATTGATGAGTAATTTATTTAACGACTTTACAAAATACTTTGCTACTTCTTTTTTTCTTCTCTCACTGTCCCTATTAATGACACTTTATTTTCAGCGAACTTTTGCGACTGCGCGCAATGCAGTTGGTCGAGTCAGTATTTACTGCGTAAGAGTATTTTCAATATTTTTCAGAGCACAATAGCTCTAGATTTAATTTAAAAAAGTATTAATTTATTATCAGTGTCTTATACGTGAAAATAGAGTCAGTGTTTGTTCGGCGATTGTTAATTAAACGATCGCGTTAATAGTCTAATTTTTATGTTTTTTATATTTTTGTTTTATAAATATTCGTTTTCGGTATTAGAGTCAGTGCACAAGATGAACCAGCCTCATCAGGAATATTCATGAATTGTAAGTATTCATGTAAACTGTACTTTATTTTATTTTCTGTATGTTGCTTGAATTATTATTAGTGAAAAAATAATGTTCTTTTACTGACGTAAAAATAATGCAATTTCTAATTTGTTTATTGATCCATATTGTCTCTTTTTATCCCAAATGTTTTAAATAAACTGTATTATATTTAAAAAATATTATAATATTTTATATTTTTTTTAGATTTGTCACAATTTTTTTATTTTCTGTTTGCTGGAAAGGTTCCTGATGCTCCAAAAAAAAAAGTGTATGTATTTTTACACATTGTATCCACCTCTTTCACTTTTATCTTTTTTAATTATTTTTAATTGTACTTTCAAATTCTAATATTCCATTCTTTTTTATAGATTTATTAAAGTCTTTGTTTGCTTCATGGGAGTTGCTGTTTTCTGCTCGATAATTGGCATTTTGATGACTTTTTCTGGACCATGGCAACATTGATGATAACGTTCAACGCATCTAATCGTAAGTCACATATATTTTTGTTCCTCCGATCACTCAATCATGTCGTAGGATGAAAAATCTGAATCAACACGAGTGATTGGTTGTACTATGTAGAATTTATTGCGAGCATAGTGACCACGTATATCTATCGTATATCTGCAAGTATAATAGTAACATTTCTTTTTGAGTTTTATTTACTAATTTAAAGTAGATTTTTTTGCATACCGCGTTTTTAAATACTCATGATAAAGCATTAATTAATATTATAATATTATAATATACATAATTGATACGAACCATATACTATTCATAATTAGTTCATATATATTGTAATATACATAATTGATACGAACGATATACTATTCATAATTAGTTTATGAATTTATAATTTTAAATCAAAATACGTGTTCACTATAATTATTTATGAAATAAAAATATATATATATGATTACTTGCAAGAATGAAATATCCATATAAGTGTTTTTATATAAATAGATAAATATTTGAATGGAAAATCAGTATTTAAACTAGATAAACCATTCAATGATTGCGTGAGATCATTTCGATCATTAGTGTTGCGAATAATGAAATATGAATGCAATGATTGAAATTATCTGTAATTGGTTTCGTGGTAGTTTTCTATCTCTCCATATTTCTTTCTTGTCAATGATAAATTTATTAGTATTGCAAACAAGAGAAAACACTTTCCGTAATTTGTTTTAAAAATTTTGAATTTATAACTGAATTTACTAAATCAGTATTGTGTAATAGAAAGGATATTTCGTTCGCAGTTTGTTTGATCTTAAATCGAGTAAATTATTATTTTTTGTAGTCTTTCGAACTATTTATTTCTTTTTCAAATTCTTTATCAGAGCATTTGTTACTGAAAATACTGAAGAAATGAAAAAATTTGCCTTTTTATCATTTTTTCGTTCATGATATTTTCAGGCTTTTTAAATAACATTGATTACATAAATATTTGAATTTGTTATGCAGGAATTCATTTGTTGATTTTAAAAGTAAAAACCTGGCATGAAAAATGTTTTGTGAATTTTTAATATGGCTCATTGCGCTGATAACGGAATTGTTATTTTTATATTTTTAATTTTTAGTATCTGCGGATTGTTACCGTTTGTTTATAAAATCAAATTATAGTAAATAGCTATAAAATACGATTATTTTAATTTTGATATTTTGAATTAGTAAGCATTATTGATTATTCGCTTGTTGGAAAATAAATCATGTGGTTTCGATTGGTTCTTTTTACATCTTGTTACTGAAAACAATTAAATTTTGTTCAATTTAAATTTAAATCCAAATCGAAATTGCATCATATTTTACGATTTTGATTAAAAATATAAAAATGATTCGCTTGCTTTGAAGAACCACAATCAATATTATATATAGTAAAAAATAATTGAATTTTTACAATATAAAAAGCATTTTGAGAATTTCATCATCAAAAGTCTACTTTCTTTAATTTGTCTTAAGAATTTATCATTGTTGAATTTACCCTCTACCATCGTGTACAATCGGATTTTGTAGGAGATTTGATCTAATTTGTTCTTTTTATTACATTTAATTTAAATTTCATTTCGACTTTTCTTTATGCTATTTCTGTTGTTTGTTACGCACAATGGACCATTGGAGATTGGACATTGTGCAAACACACACACACCAAAAGGAGCATTTATTCGAGAATATATGTATAAATGTTGCATGGGACGAGAATAAATGAGTCCGTGAATAGGAATATCTCCATTCGCAGGATATGTTATTATTAGATATAGGATTGTTAATTGCATCATTGGTTAATAACCACGATACAATTATAAATTATATAGCAAGTTATGCGAGTTAATTGGTTGCGATCGTGATTGTGTTTTTATTAGTGAGATAGTATTTACTTGTTAGCGACATTATCATTAATTTCTGAACTATATAAAGAAATTAAAAAGGACTGCTTATATAATGTGTTAAAATTTTCTATATAATTGTAAATTAATACTGAATCGTGAAAAGCTGGAAGTGGTACGTCTGCTTTATACGAACTTATACTACTGCCACCTGTACGTACATACGTACCTACGCCATTTGACGCAACGTAGACTTCAATTTTTTATCATAATTGAATTATTTTTTCGTATTTATGTACATTGTATGTACGTACAATGGATCCGCAATGTATTATCTTAAATTGAACGATTCGACGACTGAAAATCGAAATCTGAAACGCAAATCGCGGATTTATTAGAGTTCCTGTATGTTTGCTCGCGGTTCACCGTCACTTTCCGTTGCTCGAGCGTCGAGCGAGTGTGTTTCTTTTAATTTAGCCGAGGAGACACGATGAAAAGCAGAGTCGGAGGAGGAAGACTGTCTTTGGCGCAGACCAGAAGTGGCTTAAATTGTCTTTGCCGTGGTGCCTCAAAAGGCAGGCTGTTTGCCGTGCGTCTCTTATTTGCCGTCTATTTCCTCGTCGGATTCTGAATTTATCCGGTCGTCCTCGGTCTTTACTTGGTCTAATCTCTGCGACGTACATACATACATTCTATCTTCCACCATGCTCGATTCTTCCTAATGAAATCATTCTTGTTGGCCGTGTGTTAAACCGGAGTAGTCAAACTTTGGAACATTCATCAAATTTCCCTTTCTCAAAGATGTAATATCACTTTGCTTTACTCTCAGAATTACTGTCGATAGAAAAATTTTCCAAGGTATATAGAGCAATCGGAAATTTTGTAATTATCGATCTTTCGTCGATGGTTAGAACTATCGTCGGTTACGATTTTCTCGAAGCGCGTAGAGATATCCTTCTCTCAAACTATTTTATCAAACATCACTGGGAGATAGCGTGGAACTGAGAAACTGGGACACATCCATGAAGGCGAGAAGTCTTCTTTCCGGCGAAATTTGTAATATCAGAAACTCACGGTGAAAGAGCGTGTAACATTATCCCGCGGGACCTTCCCCAGTTCCCTCGTTATTCCATGTGTTTACGTTCAATAACGTAAACGCCCGTGCCCTGGGGAATTCTACTTTATTCAATCGTGAAGTTGGAGAGTCGACGCGAGACGAAACGGAACGCGAGAAAAAGAAAGAGAGAGACCGTCGTTTTACATGGAGAATGATAGACGCGTTGAAACTGTAAACGGAGCTTAGCATACGAATTTTAGTGGAGAGAGAGTAAAAAGAAAAAAAAAAAAGGAAGAAAGAAAAAGAAAGCGAGGAATAGAAAAAATTTTATCGTTCGAAAACGAATTAAAATCACGATGGTAGTAAAATTGTATTTGACGAAAAGAGAGAAAGAAATTGCAAACGTTCGACTGGCAGGATATTTGCTCTCGTCGAATTTAGAAAGATCGCGGAATCCTCGAGATTGGCAGGATGAAAAGAGACACGAAGCTATTGGCCGTTTATCACGCGATTCTTGGGGGCTTGTCGTATTCTCTTTTCACGCGGATCGATTCTCATTTCCCGCTGAATCGTTTAAAAAACCGTCGAGTCGCCGGAGATTTTCCGAGTTTTACAATCGTATTTCGAGATTCCCCGTGAGATTTTCGTCGGTGAAATTTTGCGTTGCCGAACGAACGCGCCCGGAATCTTAAACGCCTCGTTTCTTTAGGACTCTTATCCCATCTGGCTTCTCGTATATATGCAGGTTCGCACGGTATTCTATACCGCGTTGTGGAAATGAAATTTAATTCAACGAAAATGACAATCGTGTCAACCGCGCATGGGGAGTGCTCGATCTATTTAAGTGTGCGTAATATATTTGCCGGAATTGCAAAGCAATTAATTCGAACACCATTAGCCGCAGGCTAATGAAATTATAGCAGTGTTAGCGTGTAATATCGGCATCCGAATGCCATGTTAATCCTTTTAGGGCCTGAGTGACTATTAACCCTTTCGACGTGGACAGTAATTGATGAAAAGTGCTATGGGTGGTGTTGGAGGTATCGATAGTCTCGCAGAATATCGAAAATTCCTCACATATTGTCCATTATTTCGCCTGGCAGTCGAAGATATTGCTCCTCTCTTCGAACCCGGATCCCGGGATCCGGTTATCTATTGTTTGTTAACATTTCAAATCTCCCTACGATATTCCCTGTCTAAGCTAATTTACGAGAAAGAAACGAAGAAGAATGCGACGTAGTCCGACGGAATCCGAAATGAATTGTTTCTACAGGGAGGGAAGTCGAGTCTCAGCCATCTTCGAGCCAGCAACCACGCGATGGAGAGATTCGTCAATGGATCACAGGAGCATTGTACGTGGTATACTCTCTCTTTCATGCCACTGGAGACACGGCGCGTGACCCAAATCCCAAATACTTCGTCGGGGTTTTGTCGCGAGCCTGTACAAGTCTGTGTGCAACGGGGGATGTTCAATGTCTAGCCTGGAACCCTCGCCATCCACCACCATCTTCCCTCCCTCCCCCTCCCTCCTCTGCAAGCACAACAATGGCAGGGCCACGGGAACGATGTCTGAGAGTTCTCGCGCATAAAAGCCGGCTGGTCTCGTTAAAGTCTGTTGTTCGAGATATTGGCCGTGCATACATTAAGAATAGGCCCCGTGATGAACGATCTCCGAGGATCGTAGCGACTCTACCAACTTTCGAGGACTTTTCTGCCTTCTCGATTATCACAGTTGTTCGTTATTATTGGAGGGAATGTGCCGAGCATGGAAAATGCAATTGTAATTCGTCGTTTCGATTTGAATGGGAGAAAGAAACTCTGGCTAACGGTAAAATTTTAATTAATTTAGAAATTGTCGCCGAGG